GTCCTGGCTTCTTGTGCACCTCCTTGCTGGCAGAGCATGGGAAACTGAAAAGTCCTTGGCTCAGAGTAAGAACTACTTAGCAACAACTAAAACATCAGTGCATTGTCAACATTATTCTCATCCTAAATCAAAACCACAGCACTGTACCAGCTACTAGGAAGAAAATTAACTCTATCGCAGCCAAAACCAGGACACAAACCAAGAAACAACTCACAATTAACAGATTAAATGTCTCTAATAATAATAATAATAAAATTATCTTTGCAACTTGTATTATCTATATGCTTTATGTCCCATTGCAGGTGGGAAAGTAATATAAGAAGAATGGCTTGGCCAACCCTTTTGTAGTGAGAAGCAAAATTCTTTTGCTTTGGCTTCTTTGGGGGTCATTTTACCAGAGCTAAAAAAGTGAGGGAGACCCCTCCACCTCCTTCCCTCCCTGCACACCACCTCTGAGTTGGAAAAACACAGTAGGAAGGATGTTAGCTTAAACTCAGTTACCTCAAAATACTTCCACAGAATCACACAATGGTTGGGGTTGGAAGGAACCTCTAGAGATCATCTAGTGCAACCCCCCTGCCAAAGCAGGGTCACCACCAGCAAGTTGCACAGGATTGCATCCAGGCAGGTTTTGAGTATCTCCAGAGAAGACGACTCCACAACCTCTCTGGGCAGCCTGTTCCAGTGCTCTGCCACCCTCAAAGTACAGAAGTTCTTCCTCATATTCAGACGGAACTTCCTGAGTTTCAGTTTGAACCCATTGCCCCTTAATCTGTCACTGGGCACCACTGAAAAGAGTCTGGCCCCATCCTCTTGACATCCACCATTAAGGTATTTATAAGCATTGATGAGATCCCCTCTCAGTCTTCTCGAGGCTGAACAGACCCAGCTCTCTCAGCCTTTCCTCATAAGGGAGATGCTCCAGTCCCCTCATCATCTTCATTGCTCTCCGCTGGACTCTCTCCAGTAGCTCCTTGCCTTTCTTGAACTGCGGAGCCCAGAACTGGACACAGCAATCCAGATGTGGCCTCACCAGGGCAAGGCAGAGGGGGAGGAGGACCTCCCTTGACCTGCCAGTCACACTCTTCCTAATGCGCCCCAAGATACCATTGGCCTGTCTTGCAACTGTAATCTGCTATTGTAGAGGAAACTATTAATTCCCAGAGCTGCAGCATCACAGAGGTGCAGGTAGCAGGAGAAGATCCTGAATCCTCTCAGTCCATGAGGAAAGGAGGATTGAAGGACAGCCTGAGATGATGATGCCCAACACTGAAAAGCATGAGAATTCCCTACCTGTATGAAACAGCCAGTAAATTAGCAGCTACACCTGTATTAATCTATGCTTTGGTTCTACCATTGTGGATCCAAACATTATTTTAGTGACAGCACCTATCATGCTGATGGCTTCCTCCTTTTTGGTCTTAGTAAAGACATCCCCCTCTTACTCCACAAAACAAGATGTAGCAGCAGCTCTGCTCGTTCTGGTCATGACATACAATTTTGTGTGACTATCCTCCATACCCAAACCTATCCCTTAATTCCATCATGCACACAGATCTCGGCTCCACGTTTAGTGCTGACACTTGCTCTAAACAGGAAACATTAACTTACCTCCCATGTGTCCAGAAAATCTGTATCACTGGGGATACTCATACCCTTCTCATCCACAGGATGCAGTTCTTCACCAGCCTGTTGTTTCAAGGCAGATAAGACACAGACATTTTTTAAGAGTTGAATATCCTACGGTTTACTAGCACTTCTGACTGGATTTATAGGCAGCAAATTAGCAGGTTATTTAAACATATTGCATAACTAAACATTATGCATGCTCATCAGTATTCTTTTTTAGACAAGGGCCATATTTCTACAAATCAATTCCTGCATACAAAGAATAGGGATTAGTAGTAATTACGTAGTAGTAATCAGGAAACAGACATCACCCTACATTCATTCTAGAGTTTTTATTTATTTTACACAGGTGTAGACTGGAGAAAAGAAGCAGCATGTTCTTTCTGCACTGTGCTTCATTTTTGACTGCTGGTTACTCCAGACCAAGCCAACATCTCCAAAACCTGCAATGTTCACACTACTCCGGCCCAGCAGAAGCCCGTGATCCCAAACTGCACCATTCTGTGTTGGTTACAGTTTCCCTAAAGACCCAAGGAGCTCAGGAGCAGTGCTCATACCTGCAAATATCTTGCTCCAACAGGCATGAAAAGCTAAAGCATACCACTACCTAGTTAGTGACTGAATGCTTGCTACCACCAGGTTCAGAAAAGAGCCAAATGAACCATAGCATATCCCAGCTGCATAATGAAGATGGCGACGGCATAGATGAGAGAGCACACCATGTTTCTCGCCAGTTAAGGAGAAGAGGGATGTAAAGTAGGACTACCTTGAATCCCATAGGGAAGTGTATCAGGTAGAGGTCAAGGTAGTCCAGTTCCAGTGCAGCGAGGCTCTTCTTGCATGCTACCTTAACCAAGGACCTCTCATGAAACGTGTTCCACAACTGTGGGAAGAAACCAAGCCCAACTGTGACTCTACAGCTTCCACAGTCCAGACCAGGGGACAGAAGTTTCTCCCTTGGTAGTCGGGGAGGACAACTCCCTCCCCACCTAGTCAGTGCACGCTGAAGACAATGATGCCAATATATTAATGGTAAGGTAGGGCAAACATACCACAAATAAGGGAGTCAGTCATGAAGGTGGGCAGTCAGTATTCCTACTTATGAAGCGAGATTTTAAGAAATAAATGTAACACTCTGCCAGGTGTATCTGACACAGCAAAGCTGTTAGTGTTAGAATTTGGGGTTTTTTCAGCCTAAATTTTGAGTCTTGAGCAGCTCATAGGTACCCTCCTTCTGTCCCTTTTAACTGGCCACAGAGAGAACTGTTGTCAATTTTACTTAATTTTTGAAATGAAAATTCAAGTCTTTTAAATAGAACTTGCAAGTATTATTCAAATTAAAAACCTTTAATTAAAAATTAAAAAAGAAAAGAGTATGTGGAAAAGCTTAGTTATACACAACGTTTTCTGGTTTTGCTGGTGAAAACCCCAATTCATAAGTTTTTTAGTTGAAGTGTTCTTACTTTTTGGTAAAGAGCATTGCTGAGACAAGTGGATGAGGTAAAGGAATGGAGTAAATACATGTAAAATACTTCAGACTGAAGTCCCATACTTTAATTTCTGTTCCCTTTCAGGCTTACATTTTGTACGCGACACCACTTTCAAATGTCTTGCACACCAGTAAGAGGCACAGCACCTTTGAATTCAGACATCTGTCTTGCCTTTTTTTTTCTTGATCTTTCTAGGGTGCATGCAAATGAACCTTCAATATAATTAAGTGACTTAATAGATGCAAGGAAATTATTAAATCAGCACAGCCTAAGTGGTCAATGGCTCCTGATAAAGCTCAGTCCAAGCTGCAAATAAAGGATGGAATTTATAGCATACAACAAGACAACCATGCAGCAAATGTCAGAGAAGGGAATAGGTCCTTATGTTACTTTACAGATGGAAGACAGTTATCTCTCCAAGAAAATCTAAATGCCCCAATAAACCTGCATCCTCGTACCTTAGTGACAATGAAGAGGTCTTCCCGTTTCACAGCCCCCTCCTTGATCTTCTGCTGGATTGCACTCCCTATTTCGTTTTCATTCCGGTAGAAATAGGCACAGTCAAAGAGGCGGTAGCCTATATCAATAGCAAACTTCACTACCTCTTCCACCTTTCCTGGAGGAGCCTGAAAGCAAGCACAATCAAACCATCAACTCTTCCACGGCCTTCTGCCAGCGCTCGGTGCTGTGGCAGCTCTGCAAAGTCCCCGTTCCAAGATGCTGCTGGAGTTTCCTTGCTGTCTGCATTTAAACTGACTTTCAACTTTCCAGGCAAAGAGCATTTTTGTAGGGAAAGGGAACACAGCAGAAAGAAGTTAGTTTCTGTGGATGCTTTGACTCTGCCATTTCCAGCAGCGTAATGCCCACTATCATTTTCCCTTACTTGTTCTCAGCGCTGCCCAAGCAGTTTTGGCAGTTTATCTTCCCCAAACCCTTCCCCACGAAGGCGGTTTCGTGGCGCAGGGCTCCCATCAGCCAGTGACCCCATCCCAGGGCTGCGAGCTCCCAGGGCTGCGAGCTCCCAGCGCCGGGCCAGGCAGCCTGCCGCAACCCACTTTCGCTTCCTCTTTGTTGGTTTCTTCTGTTGCTTCCCCTCCTCTTCCCCCCTCCCTCCACCTTCTTCAGCTCCTATTTTATTTTTTTGGCTTATTTTTTTTTCTTTGCTTTTT